TCTGCAGCGTCACCGAGCTCTGCCCGTTGTCCCTGGGGATGCTGAACTGGCCCTGCACCGACGGCGCGTAGAAGGTGCGGGAACTATCATCATCGATCCCAGAGACCCATTCCAGCCCCTTCCCGGGGCTCTGGCGCACCCAGAACATCCAGTAGTTGCTGAAGGTGAAGCCGGAGGCGCGGCAGAGGAGCCGCAGGGACTCCCCCGGGGCCTTGAGTCTCAGCTGTTGACCCTAAATCTCAATCGATGACCCAAATGTTGACCATTGACTCCAAATCTCAACCATTGACCCACATTTGAACCACTGACCCCAGCCTTGACCTTTGGCACAGTTTGGGGCAATGACATTCAGTTTTGGGGCCCATGGTTGACCCTTGAGGTTCAACCAGTTGAGTTTGGGGTCAGAGCCAGTCCCCGGTGCCCGTTGGTGCGGCCGGTTGGGTGTTGGGGCACAAAGAGTTGGGATTTGGGAACAACGAGGAATAAGAGTTGGGGCCAAGAGCTGAGGTTTGGGGGAAAGATTGGGGGTGTGGGGAGATGTGGGGACCTCAAGGCCCTGGGGGAGTCCCTGCGGCTCCTCTGCCGCGCCTCCGGCTTCACCTTCAGCAGCTACGGAATGGGCTGGATGCGCCAGAGCCCCAGGAAGGGGCTGGAATGGGTCGCCAGTATCAGGAACGATGGTTCCAGCACCAGCTACGCGCCGTCGGTGCGGGGCCGGTTCACGATCTCCCGGGACAACGGGCAGAGCTCGGTGACGCTGCAGATGAACAACCTCAGGGACGAGGATTCCGACACCTATTTCTGCATCAAATATTACGGGGCTGGTTGGGATGCTGGGGGTGGTCGTGCTGATGCCCAACTCGGCTCCAGCCCCAATCCCAAACCCCAGACCCTCCCCCACCCCCCGGCTGTTGCCCCCAGCTCTTGTCCCTCTGTCCCCAGTCTCCGCTCTCTGGGCCCCAAATCTCAACCGTTGACCCCAAATCTCGTCCCTTTGCTCCAGGTCTTGACCATTTCCCAAAAGCCTTTGGCAGTGCTCAGTCTGGACCAAAGGGTTGGGTCAAGAGTCGAGATTTTGGTCAATGGTTGAGATTTGCGGTCAATGGTTGGGGTTTGAGGCCAAAGGCTGAGAATTGGGGCAAAACCAGCCCAAGGTTGGGACCAACGACCGAGAGCTGGGTGTGAAGGGTGGAGGTTTGGGGGGAGGGTCTGGGGTTTGGGGACAGGTGGGGACCCCGCCAAGGGCGTCGATACCTTCAGCACCATCAGCACCAGCACTGTCACGTTTGGCGCAGAAATAGGTGTCGGAATCCTCGTCCCTGAGGTTGTTCATCTGCAGCGTCACCGAGCTCTGCCCGTTGTCCCTGGGGATGCTGAACCGGCCCTGCACCGACGGCGCGTAGAAGGTGCCACCACCACTCTGGATCCCATCGACCCATTCCAGCCCCTTCCCAGGGCTCTGGCGCACCCAGTTCATGGTGTAGCTGCCGAAGGTGAAGCCGGAGGTGCGGCAGTTCCGACATGGCCTCCACCTTCCTCCCGCTCCTCCTCCTCCTCGCTGCACTCCCAGGTAGGTCCCGGCACCTCCGACCCTCCGCCCCAATCCCAAAAAATCCCCGGGATCCCCCGGCTCATCCCGATATTCCCTTTTCTCCCCCCACAGGGCTGTGGGCGGCCGTGACCCTGGTGGAGTCCGGGGGCACCTCAAGGCCCCGGGGGAGTCCCTGCGGCTCCTCTGCCGCGGCTCCGGCTTCACCTTCGGCAGCCACGGAATGATGTAGGTGCGCCAGAGCCCCGGGAAGGGGCTGGAATGGGTCGCTGGGATCACCGAGATTGGTGCTATCACCCCGCGTGGTGGTGTCCCCTACTACGCGCCGTCGGTGCAGGGCCGGTTCAGCATCCCCAGGGACAACGGGCAGAGCTCGGTGACGCTGCAGATGAACAACCTCAGGGACGAGGATTCCGACACCTATTTCTGCGCCAAACGTGACAATGCTGGTGGTGCTGCTGAAGGTATCGACGCCCTTGGCAGGGTCCCCACCTGTCCCCAAACCCCAGACCCTCCCCCCAAACCTCCACCCTTCACACCCAGCTCTCGGTTGTTGGTCACGACCCTGGGCTGGTTTTGCCCCAATTCCCAACCTTTGCTCTAAACCTCAAGCATTGACTGAAATCTCAACTGTTGACCCAAATCTCAATCATTGGTGCCAAACCTCAACCCTTGACCCAACCCATTGGCCCAAACCCAGCATTGCCCAAGGCTTTTGGGAAAGGGTCGAGATTTGGGGCAGAGGGCAGAGATTTGGGGTCAGTGGTCGAGGGTTGGGGCCAACAGTTGAGATTTTGGTCAACGGCTGAGACTTGGAGTCAATGGTCAAGATTTGGATCATTGGTGAAGGTTTGGGGTCAATGGTTGTTATTTGGGTCAACGGTTGAGATTTGGGTCAACGGTTGAGTTTGGGGTCAAGGGTCAAGATTTGGGGTTAGTGGTTGAAATTTGGAGCCATTGGTCAAGATTTGGGGACGCTGCCAAGGGCGTCGATACCAGCACCACCATAACTCCAACCAGCACCAGTATAACCACCCCTGG